GATGTCATTGTTACACAATCCTGTCATTAGGTTTTTGTGAGTGGATATGCATTCTGAAATCAACATTGCAGGACTAAAAAGGATCGAAGATTACTTTTACTTATATTACATTTGTTCACTTAGGAAAAAGCCTATATAATTTTAAATACTCTTTTGACATTCATAAATAAAGCATTCTTTGAAATATGCTTGCTATTCACTTGTAGCGGAGCTGCAATATTAAATTCCACGATCTCCGCTGGTACAGAAGGTAATCCAAAGTAAAGCGCTGAAAAGTAAGGCAATATCCCAAATCCCCACATTAACCGGACGAAACACAGTTCTGGGAGTCAACTGAGCTTGTATTCACAAATCACAGTATTTATGCAAGTCCCCATGCAAGGGGTTTCCCTACTGACATTGCAGTAGGGACTACATGGGGGACTTAACAATCTGGACATTTCTCCCATCAGGCACTGCTGGACGAGAGGGATACTCCCACTGGAATATACCGTTAAGTGGATTATCCCTCCGTGCCGCAGAACCAACATTTCACATCAAAATATATAACTTTTCCATCATTCACTTTATTTAAACGAATGGACGTTCAGTAGATAGCTGGGGTCTGAGCGCACATTTCGTGAGAATACCGCTCAGATCCCAGCATAAATAACCGAACGCCACACGAAATACACTTTAACATTATGTTCACCTAAAAGTACCGAACACCGATGGGGAACCAGAATAGTGAAAGACCAGAGCTCCCGAATGGCTGGAAGCCCACCGGTGTTCGCGCCATTGAGTAGCCAATTTCAGTTCCACGCGCTCGACGGCCAAACACTGCTGGGGAAACAAAGGATCTAAGATGGCCACCGGCCGCGTGGTCTGTAGCCGAATGACGGCCACCTAGGAACACAATTACCTACCGATTGCAACAATTTTGCAATCGGTTAATAGGTGCCACATGACCCTCTGTGTGGGTCACAGGACATAGCAGTACATACATATATTAAAATATAACAGTCCAGCGGCTTATACAGACAACCTTTGCAGATACAGTCATGTAACCTAAAAGTGGCTAGGTTTGCCACATCACTGTTTGAACACTGTTGCATTTCTTTATTCTTTTATTTTTACTCTTTTTAAGAAATAGTAAAGTGTTTAAATTCTCCATATTTGTTCAAGTGTCAAAATACTGTGTGTGATCAGTGTGTAATCTAATGCATTCAGAATTCAACTGAGAACTAACTATCAAAGGTTTGATAGGCGTATTATTGATTTTTAAAATGTGTAACGTGGAAATTGCATATACACCGACGAGTGCACAAATTTCCCTGTAGAGAACACATGCACACCAGATTTTTTTTTTGTATTTAATGAAAGAAAAAGATAATTTTCTTCCCATTTTAATGAAATTAAAAAAAAATCTCTTTAGGAAATAAAACTTTGCTCACTTTTTTTTCACACAAAAACCAAGGTATCTCTTCTAATTACACTGAAAAGGTGTAATACAGTTTGGAATAGAATTGGATCATTATACTAATTAAATTAATTGCTAATTAAAACACATTGAGGTGTATTCACTACACAGTTAATTTTAGAGTACTGACAAGGGAATTTGGGTCCTAAAAACTATTTTTCTAGTCCAAATATTTGACCTAATTTTTCTAATTACCTTTCAGTTCTCTACAATTAAAAGTTTAGTGAGTAAGCCCCGACTTACTCTTGACATTTTTTATTTTTCTTGTGCATGTATTAATGACATGTATACTTGGAATGCCACAACAGCAGCTACAGGTGTAAAACAAACAAACAAACAAACAAACAAACAAACAGAATGAGTAAACGTATGACATTCTGAGAGATAGCACATTTTAGAACCAATACAGGTGGTACAATAAAGATATTCTAGGGTCTATTAGTTGCATGGATCAGTGTAAAAGTCTAGTATAGGCAGCTACAGTGTAAGGGAGACGTAGAGATCTTGTCATATTTCAGGCTCTATTAGGTCACACCATCTGAGTTTAAGACGTTGCCAGATGCCCTGAGTGAGTGTACCTGTTTTGGTAGGAGACTATTAACTATTGGTCCACCATCAAATCATTACAATTTGAACGTTTTGGGGGCATGGCTACACATTTAAAGAGCACACTATTAAAGGGGATCCCAGGGCATAACGTTATATTATTACTGTGTATACTTCTTGGTTCTGACTTTGGCTACATTTGACTATTCTACCTTCTGTATTCCTTTGACTCGGCTTTCGTATTCTCGCTGTTCCTGACTTCTGGCTCCCCTGACCTCGGCTTGTCCCTGTTTACTCTGTCCTCTGTGACGTTAGCCCAGCCATTCTAAGGTCCAGTACACATTATTACTATACTACACACTGCATGTTGGATCCCTGTATATTCCTGACACTAGTGGTAATACCCCTATCCAAAGCGACAGCAGTGGAGGGAGGATGCCGTGTGGTCTTCCGGGATGGACTATGCTTCTGCCTATGATGGCTGAACTTCACAGTGCAGGAATGCTACGGCCTCAGCCTCGGCTGGTGGCTCTGATGTCCAAAAACCACATTTAAGTGGGTCAACAGTATAAAGTTATAAATTAAAATTCCAAACACATGAAAGAAATACAAGATAAATAAATTAAATTAAATTAGACAGTCTGTCGTACTGCAATTGTAGATTAAGCCATAGAGTCTGGTCCCCTGGTAGGTACAAAAGGTGCAATAATCGAGACATCCCATGGGTATCCAGGTCGGGACCTCCGTGTCTCGTGGGTGGGCTCTGTTAGGCCAAGCACTGCTAAGAATGTGGTGGGTTTGTCTGGCGACACGGCTATTAAGGCCCTTGGGGTAAAGCATATGCATGTGATTTCTGCTTCCTGCTATTTTCAGGTTGATGGGCTGCATGTTTTGTCGCCATTGAAAGGTGGTCAGACTGTGTGTTTCAAAATGAAGGGGGGGATGTCTTATCCCTTAGGGCAGCCATGAGTTTATGTTTGTCAGCATGTAGACTCCATCTAACACTATAGATTTTGCTAGTTTAGTGGGTAAGATCAGCAAGCTCCTCAGAGGCCATCGATTCTGGCACTCCTCTTATTTTCAAGTTCTTCCTGCGGCTCCTACCATCAAGGGCATCCACTCTCATGTTTATATGAGTATGTGCAAACTGCATGGTATGCATGGTTTCTTCCAGGGCCGAGAGACCTGGTTTGAGGTCTGACACATCTTCCTCAGTAACACGCACCCTCTCCATGACAGGTTGGACCTCTCCCTTTACCAGGGCTTTATCAGAATCGAAAAGCTTTCTGATGCGGTCATATAAGTCGGCTGTGTCCTTTTTGGTTGAGGGAGATGAGAATTGCGGCTCCGTGGACATGCCCAGGGTTGATGTAGTGAGATTGCTGGGCCTAACGTGGGGTTGACTGACCTCATTGTCCTACAGGTCTGTGGAGGCCTTTCTATCAGCCTGCTCTATGGGTTTTAATTGCGGCTTGCCTGTGAGCAACTTGCCAATAACTCTCGTTGTCTTTGTCAGTTTCAAAATAAGTTGAGTATAGGGTCCATTCCACTGTGGCCTGCATGTTTGCGTGGCTTTAAAGTCTGTTGGTTTTGCAGGTCGATTTGTCATGTGAACCATAAAAGGAGGGCATGGGTTTGTTCCCGGAGTGTCCCTCCAGGCATATCAACCACTTCAGATGGGTGATGAAGCTTTTGTTTGACGGTATTTGGTAGATTAAGAATTTTGGGCCTGGAGTCTGTCAAATGGCGTCTAGTCCATCTAGCTGCTTGTCCCCGTCCGACTTATTCTTGATATGCATGTGCTGCATGCATGTCATTCAGTAATAATAAACTGTATGCTCACAATCCACACAATGCCACACTGTATAAACCTGCCAGGTTATTTACTAAAATGAGAATTTAAAGCCAATTTCAAATTTAGGCCAAATTGAAGTATAGCTGACTTAGCATTTTTTTCCTGCTCAGTTATTTTGCCCTTTCATTTGGAATTCACTTTAAGTTCTCACTTTAGTGAAAAGCCAGCAGGTGTACTTATAAACAAATTATGGAAGATAAAAATATAGAGTAAGGTTCTCTTAGCGCAGTGAGAATTCACTCTACTTACCGAATGCCAACTCCTCTTTTGATGTCAATGGGAAAATTGCTGTTCAGTAAGCAGAGTAACCCATTACTAAGAGAATGCAGTCCGTAATTTATATCTGCAGAACAAATTGCCAGCTTGCTTTTCGTAACCATCAGACTCACACTGCGAAGTGTCTATAAGTAACAGTGGGGATGTGGGGAGATGTCTGTGATATCAGACTAAGAACTGGGGGCCTGGCCTCCTGCATTCTCTGTGTGATCTGCCTTGTCAAGGTGGGCTATTGTGGGAGTGGGCGAGCTATGTCCAGATTTCTCATTCCAGTGACCTTACAAAATGCACTGTACCCAGAGGGTGCTACGTGACATAATCATTCCTGCATCTAAGAGAGGCCTCAATGTAAATCTGTTGGATAAGCTTTCCACTAGAGTTGAGCAAACCCGAACTGTAAAAAACATTCAGTTTTTTGGACCCCGTACCCAAACACAGACATATCACTGTATGTTCGGATTGGAGTTCGGTGTTCGGCGATTTAATGGCGCGTTTTCAAAGGCTGCAGGGCAGCCAATCAACAAGCGTTTGACTTGTGTGCCCTTAGAAGCCATCACAGCCATGCCTACTAATGGCATGGCTGTGATTGGCCAGTGCAGCATGTGACCCAGACACTGGGCAGTCCGGTGACCAGGACCCAGACACTGTCTGGGCGGCGGTCGGACGACCGGGACCCAGTATGCCTGATGTTGAAGTTAGGAGTCACAGTGTGGAATGGATTAGAAGGTCTGATGCAGGGTAATCACACGCCCCCTGGTGTTGAGCACCAGCGTTTGTGCGGCCACATACCAGGACCCTGATGCAGCTTCAGTAAAAAGAGTACTGGATACCAAAAGCCATCACCAGGCTGATCCGCAACTTGGAACAGGATGTGACATTCACTGTAGCGGCTGTGCGCACTTCCCTCCATCAGAGTTAAAGGATTTCAAGTGGACTCATTACAATTACAGGGCCTCTAAAGAGTTATTTGTTATTTGTCGTCACTATCTGCCCGGGTTGGGAGTGGGTCATTTGCGCGCCTGCTGCCTTCCTTGCATGTGGTAGCCATTTGTCAGGATCCCTGTACGGAATGGAACCCTGATTCCCTGTTGCCCGTGGTCACCGTGGTAGGTGCAGAAACTGGCATGGAAAGTTGATATGGATGACATTCAAATGCAAAGCCGCCGTAACGGGGATGTGCGATTGGCCCGAGGTTCTCTAGAGTCAACAAAGTACCTGCGCAACTATAATGTCAACAGCTACTCTGCGGAACAGAGTTGTCTTTTTTATATGTCCCAATATTTTGGGGGCTACCCTAATTAATATATATATATATATATATATATAAAAAAACAGTGTTGGCTACCTCATCCTCCTCCTCCACCGCCGCTTCCACCTACACCGCCATGGTCACCGCCTCCTCAACCTATGGGTCACTTAGTATAAACTATGTACACATTAGCAGATGCTTGTGAAGGCCTTTTCTCCATGCATCGGGAGTTGAGCATTTCTCCATGCATCAGGACTGCAAGAAATGCACCGCAGGCCGCAAATGTTTCTTTTTTTTTGTATGTCCCAATATTTTGTGGGCTACCACAATAAAAAAATTAAAAAACATAAAAAACAGTGTTGGCTACCTCATCCTCCTCCTCCACCGCCACTTCCACCTACACCGCCACGGTCGCCGCCTCCTCAACCTATGGGTCACTTAGTATAAACTATGTACACATTAGCAGAGGCTTGTGAAGGCCTTTTCTCCATGCATCAGGAGTTGAGCATTTCTCCATGCATCAGGACTGCAAGAAATGCACCGCAGGCCGCAAATGTATCTTTTTTTATACGTCCCAATATTTTGCAGGCTACCCCAATTAAAAAAAAGAAATAAAATAAAATAAAAAACAGTGTTGGCTACCTCATCCTCCTCCTCCACCGCCGCTTCCACCTACACCGCCACGGTCACCTCCTCCTCAACCTATGGGTCACTTAGTATAAACTATGTACACAATAGCAGAGGCTTATGAAGGCCTTTTCTCCATGCATCAGGAGTTGAGCATTTCTTCATGCATCAGGATTGCAAGAAATGCACCGCAGGCCGCAAATGTTTCTTTTTTTGTATGTCGCAATATTTTGGGGGCTACCCCAATAAAAAAATAAAATAAAAAATAAAAATAAACAAATAAAAAACAGTGTTGGCTACCTCCTCCTCCACCGCCGCTTCCACCTACACGGTCACCGCCTCCTCAACCTATGGGTCACTTAGTATAAACTATGTACACAATAGCAGAGGCTTGTAAAGGCCTTTTCTCCATGCATCAGGAGTTGAGCATTTCTTCATGCATCAGGATTGCAAAAAATGCACTGTAGGTCGCAAATGTTTCTTTTTTTTGTATGTCCCAATATTTTGTGGGTTACCACAATTAAAAAAACAAACAAACATAAAAAACAGTGTTGGCTACCTCATCCTCCTCCTCCACCGCTGCTTCCACCTCCACCATCTTTTTTTATATGTCCAAATATTTTGGGGGCTACCCCAATAAAAAAAAAAAAAAAAAACAAAACAAATAAAAAACAGTGTTGGCTACCTCATCCTCCTCCTCCACCACCGCCTCCACCTACACCGCCACTGTCACCGCATCCTCAACGTATGGGTCACTTAGTTTAAACTATGTACACAATAGCAGAGGCTTGTGAAGGCCTTTTCTCCATGCATCAGGAGTTGAGCTCAGTTTGAACAATGAAAGAGAATACCCTGCACTCCAATCCTCTCTCAAATGGATAATTCTAATGATCCTCCTGACAGCCATGCTTTAGATTTTGATTTATGGTCTTCCAAAGCTAAAATCAAAGATTCCATCTAGTGGTATTTTATGGCTCAGCTGTATTTTTAATCTTTAGGTATTTTATGTTATTTTCAGTGATTTCCCTATCCACATTTGTTTGCAGGGCACTTGTCCTACTCTTACGCCCATTTTATTTCCTTTTGCAGCTCTCTAGCCCTTTCCAGGAGATTTTTAGAGGCATTTTTGTGGCCAAAAGTTCGGTTCACCATTGACTTCAATGGGGTTCAAGTTCGGGGTCAAGTTCGAGCCCGAACCCGGACTTTATTTCAAAGTTCGGCCAAACCCGCCGGACCCAAACATGCAGGTGTCCGCTCAACTCTACTTTCCACGTGTATAATATTTTTGGATAAACGTTAAAAAAGATTTGATATTTTGTAAATATTAATTATATGTTAATATTAATATGTAAAAGAAAATTTATGTATTGATATATTTTTTATATGTGCAATATTTTAGAATATATTATTTTTTATATTCATTCTCACCACAGCAACACTCTGGCACATCATATAACCGAAGCTTGTGATAGAGCAAGTATACTCGGCCTGCAAGGCCATAGTCTTTTAATGCAACCAGACCACCAGGGCTTGTAATGTCCACCTTATCTGGGCAAGAATGGAGATAGCACAAGGGGGGGTTAGGACAAAGTTAGAACATTCCCCACTAGACCACTGAAGCCCTGTGCCACTTGACTACAGCACTAAGAACAGGGCCTTTGTCAAGCTCTGGAGCAGAATCAAAACAACATTTTGCCGACAACAGGGTAAACCAAACAAATAATCAGATACCTAAGGGAACAGCACTTAGGATCTATGCACCAGTAAAGACACTCCAGCTGTGTCTGCAGAGCTTAAAGGACCACTATAGTGCCAGGAAAACATACTTGTTTTCCTGGCACTATAGTGCCCTGAGGGTGCCCCCACCCTCAGGGACCCCATCCCGCCGGGCTCTGGAGAGAGGAAGAGGTTAAACACTTACCTTTCTCCTGCGCCGGGCGGGGAGCTGTACTCCTCCTCTCCTCCTTGCTCGTGACGTCATCGGCTGAATGCGCATGCGCGGCAGGAGCCGCGCGCGCATTCAGCCGGTCGCATAGGAAAGCATTTACAATGCTTTCCTATGGACGCTCGCGTGCTCTCACTGTGATTTTTCACAGTGAGAAGCACGCAAGCGCCTCTAGCGGCTGTCAATGAGACAGCCACTAGAGGCTCTGGAGGCTGGATTAACCCTCAGTATAAACATAGCAGTTTCTCTGAAACTGCTATGTTTATAAAAAAAAGGGTTAATCCTAGAGGTACCTGGCACCCAGACCACTTCATTAAGCTGAAGTGGTCTGGGTGCCTAGAGTGGTCCTTTAACCCTATAATATATGAATAGAAGGAAACAAAAAAAATGAAGTCACTCAAACCACAACAAAGTGGGTGAGTGAAAGCTGGATAGTAGGTAAGTGTCTTGTTTAAATAACTTAAGTTTAGCTGGACCAGCACTAAATGTACATATATATACACACACATGTGTCTCAAACCTAGAAACAAAGTAAGAAAACGATTAGCCTTATAAGGCTTCTCCACCAACTCATAATGGGACCATAGGGTCATCCAGTAAATTGCTTAAACTAATGGTAGCTTTCTTAGACTGCTTGTTTTAACCCAGGATTTGCCCTGTCCCCAATCTAGATTAACGTAAATGTACCAGGGTGAGAGTAAATGCCTGATTGGTGGGGGTGTCCAAGACCAATAGACACAATATCTAAGGAGTAATATACAGTCCTAACAAAGGTTAATGAGAAAGTTTGTAGGACAGATAGATAAAAAGCCTCTCTCCGTGGTAAGCTAGCTAGATAGTTAGTAGAGACAAAATAAAAAGAGTGAGAGAATAATTAAATCGGTGAAAACACTGCATGTCTTTATTAAATAAACATCCCAAGTGCATAGGTGATAGTTGCCCAACATCCACTCAGAACATAACGCCTGACGCACCCTGTTGTGGGCAGAAACGTTGTTTTGATTCTGCTCCAATAAATCTGCCCACTGGATTCAACTTGAGTGCCTGGACCATCATTACTTTTTTGCAAATCACATTTTGAGGATTGGCCAACCTCTGACCTGGTTGAACCCTGGGATCCAGGAGAATGCGGTATCCATATTGGTAATTATATTGATACACCACTGAGAAGACATGCAGGGCCGGACTGGGGACACGAAGCAGCCCTGGAGCTAAGCCCCACCCTGAGCTAAGCCCCGCCCCTGCCACAATATATTTTTTTATTTTAATAATCCTGGCCGGCCATGTGTGAGCTGTGCCAGCCGCCTGGCTCCCCCTGCTCCCATGGGGTCCTGTGCGGCCGCACAGCTCACACATGGCCGGCCGGGATCACAGGAGCCTGATCAGTTCTGAATGGGGCTGTCAGCCCAGCCCCAGGTGCCACGGCCCACCGGGAAATTTCCCGGTATCCCGGTGGGCCAGTCCGGCCCTGAAGACATGTCACAATTTAACAGTCCTTCAGGACTATGGAGAGTGGAAAATTTTAATAAAAGCACAATCCACCATTTTCCATTATGCATTATATTCACTGTGGGATATTTCTATTTATAATACCACAACCTCAATTTATTATTTTTTGGATACATTTTTCAAATGATCACAATCTGCTATAGAAAACCATTTCAAATTATTTATGTACAACAATTCCCACAGACTTTTAATGTGGCTTGTGTAGTTGAATCATTTGAATTTCTTTTCTAAAAGATTGTGATCATTTGAAAAGTTTATTAAAACATATTAAGTCAAGGCCAATGTGCGGGGAAAAAAAAATCTTCCTTTTGTTAACAGTGCCCTAATTTGTCTGTTTACTAGAATATTTGGGGTTCATTCACTTAGCATTTGTGGTTAATGTAAAAATGGCACATACTCAGGGAATATCTTCGCATTTTCAGTTTAATAACAGGATCTGAACTTGGACTGTTTATATTTTCGCAGTATCTGTGTTTTTGTTTTGTAGGTTTTTTATTTAATCTTTAAAGGTGAGAGTCCCTGTATCTGTACATGAGACACTGAGTGTCCAACGAGCCCTGCAAGATGATCAATCCGAAAGTCTCTTTTTTTTGTATCCTTTTCTTTATATCTGCCTGTCTTCCCTGGCACTGGCTCGTAACTTGGCTCATTGCCATCCTCTTCCCCCATGCATTTCCTGAAGCTCCCTCTATTAATCACTAGCAGCCGATGTCTCTCTGACCTCACCACACCTTCCTACAGGGCTTTGACAGCTTGAGTCTTCATTAGAGGAAGAACTTGCCGTACGCCATGGAAGAAATCTTGCAATATTTACAGCCTCCCAATGTGGATCTACTCAACGCACCCCGAGGCATATTCTCTGCTACTCAACGCTCTGATACACATTATTTCTAGGGGAAAATTATTTGAATTCTGTTTTATTTGCTTCACTAAAATATATTAAATTAATATTATTTTTGTTCGGTGCCAGACACCCTGATTGAATGTGCAATTCTCTCTATTTTTCTTTTTTCGGCTGGGTGAAAATATATTTATGAATGATGTAATAAACTCCTGCGATATCACATTACAAAAGATAAA